AGCTCAGCAGCATTGATTTCTTATGTAACATTCCTTACATATGTGCTAACTGGCAATGTACTTACAGCACAGAAAGTCTTCACATCTATGGCTCTCTTCAATGCTGTCAGGATTAACATGACTTTGTTTTTCCCTATTGGAATTACTCTCATGAATGAAGGGAGGGTTTCTCTGCAGAGAATTGAGGTAACTATGACCTATAGGTAAAAAATAAGAGGGGCACAATTGTGTCTTTATTTGTTGGATTACTGTTGTAGTAAACAGCTGCTTGCAAAAGAACTTCTTTTTTCTTCAAGTTTCATAGAGAAATTCTAATTTTTATTTTTTTTCATCATCAAGTATTATTGTTCATGCAACACAACATCAGTCTACATGTACCATCAAGTAATAGTAGTAAAAAAAGCTGGATTTCACACTGTCTGCATTTATTTACTTGTAATAAGCAAACTTAGTCCACTTCTCATCTATGACGGTTCAGTATTTTTTATATTTCTACTAAGTAACAAAATTGTAAAATTGTAAACTGTTTTGTAGCAACTACTCCAACTAGATGAGTTACATTCAAAAGGTTTGGTTGCCACAAAACTGAGACCCAAGCCAGAACATTGTGGAATTGTKGCTGAGAATGTTAAAGCTTCTTGGAGTGAGGTAAGGCATAACAGTTCTCATGATATTTGATGGTGGCAATTTAAATACTTACAGTAAGTGGTGTGAAATCCCAAAAGAGTTATAATATTTACTGTAACTGATCAGATGAATGTTCTCATTTTAGCATTTGTCTTCTTTTAGGACATTCCAAGACCTACATTGAATAACATTAATTTTGAGCTGGCTCAGGTAGTATTTTATAGGTTTGATATGATTTTACTTAATATTCATTAATCTTCAATTCTTTTGACTGGTTTCAGGGCGAGTTACTTGCAGTTGTAGGATCTGTTGGAGCAGGAAAAGTATGRATTTAAAATTATGTTTTCAATATGTAGAAATGAAGAGATTTGTTATTTCACTATTTTGTATGACTTCTTGCCACTCACATTGCTTAGCTTTTCCTCTCTATTCTTSCAGTCATCTTTGTTGATGTCCATTCTTGGAGAGCTGCCGTTAACCGATGGGACTATGACTGTRAAAGGAAAGATWGCTTATTCATCCCAGCAAGCATGGATATACAATGGTTCTCTTAGGAATAATATCTTATTTGGTAGTGAATTTGATGARTCAAGATACAAAGAAGTCATCAAAGTGTGTGCCCTGGAAAGGGTGAGTC